TTGCCCCTTATTCCACCTAACCCCTTCAGTACCCTGCAGTTTTGGTTAGTTTTAGTATGTAGTATATTTTGAAATCAGGTAGTGTGATGCCACTTGTTCTTGCTCAAAATTACTTTGGCTATTTGGGGTTTTTGTGGTTCCGTATGAATTTTAAGATTGTTTTTAAGATTGTTTTTACTGTTTCTGTGAAAAATGCTATTGGAATTTTGACAGGGATTGCATTGTATCAGCAGATCACTTTGGGTAGAACATTTTAAAAATATTCTTCCAATCCATGAACACAGGATATCTTTCCATTTATTTGTGTCTTTCTCAGTTTCTTTCATCAGTGTTTTATAGTTTTCAGTGTACAGATCTTTCTTCCCCTTGGCTAAATTTATTCCTAAGTATTTTATTTTATTTTATTGATGCTGTTGTAAATTGGACTGTTTTCTTAATTTCTTTTTTGTACAGAAATTCAACTGATTTTTGTATGTTGGTTTTTGTAACCTACTACTTTACTGAATTCATTTATTCTATCAGTTTTTTGGTGGGTTCTTTAGGGTTTTCTATATGTAAGACCACGTCATCTGCAGAAATAGTTTAACTTTGTTTTTGACCTGGATGCTTTTTCATTCTTTTTCTTGTCTGATTGTTTTGGTTACATATCCAGTGCCATGTTGAGTAGAAGTGTTGAGTGGACACCCTTGTCTTGTTCATGATCTTAGAGGAAAAGCTTTCAACTTTTCACTGTTGAGTATGTTTACTGTGGGCTTATCATACATGGCCTTTAGTATGATGAGGTACAATCCTTCTATTCCTAATTTGTTGAGGGTTTTTTGATGTTGGATTTTCTTTTAAAAGGCTGAATAATATTTCACTATATGTATATACTACATTTTCTTTATCCATTCATCTGTCAGTGAATATTTGGGTTACTTCCATCTCTTGGTGATTATGCGTAATGTTGCAGTGAACAGGGGTGTGCCAATAGCTTTTTGAGATTCTGCTTTGAATTGTTTTGGATATATGCCCAGAAGAGGGATTTCTGAATCAAATGGTAATTTTGTTTTTAATTTTTTGGAGAATTTCCCTGGTGGCTGCACCATTTTACATGCCCATCAACAGTGTGCAAGAGTTCTATTTTTCCACATACCAACATTTGTCATTCTGTTATTTTTTATAGTGGCCATCCTAATGGGTATGAGGTGATAGCTCATTGTGGTTTTGATTTGCATTTATCTAATGATTAGTGATGTTGAGCATCTTTCATATACTTCTTAGCCATTTGTATATCTTTTGAGAAATGTCTGTGCAACATGTCTTCTGTTTAATGAACCATCATTGGATACCTATGATAAGTACTAATTGGTCATAATTATTCTTTTAATGTATTGTCAAATCACATTTACTCATTTAATTGATTTTTAAACTTGTGCTTTAGAAATAGATTAGTCTTCAGTTTTGGTTTTAGTTCCTTTTTGTCTTTATTATAGTTTTTATTTTTATTTAAGGAATATTTTCCTTATAAGGATAAGTTAGTAAACTCTTCATTTTCTTAACCTTGAACAGTTTATTTAACCTTTGAATTTTTGTTTTTGGAAAGAACATGTTTATCAGTTAAAAGAAAAAAATTAGCTAGGTACAGTGCTCATACCTGTAATCCCAGTACTTTTGGACTCTGCAGCAGGAAGATTGCCTGAGTCCAGAAATTCAAGACCAGCCTAGGCAATACCACAAGACCTCTTCTTTACAGAAATTTTAAAAATTTAAGAGAGAGAGAGAAAAAAAAAGAAAAAGTTATACAAATATCCTAAAATTAGCCCATCTAAAGACTACATAATCACAGATTGGATCAACATTCCAAACTGTAACCACGAGCTGTTTATTTTTTATTTTTTTATTTTTTTTGAGTTGGAGTCTCACTCTGTCGCCCAGACTGGAGTGCAGTGGCCACTCCTGGCCACTGCAGCCTCGACCTGCTGGGCTCCGGCGATCCTTCCGCCTCAGCCTTCCGAGTAGCCGGAATTACAGGCATGCGCTACCACGCCCGGCTGATTTTTTGATTTATTGTAGAGATGAGGTCTCACTGCCCAGGCGGGTCTCAAACCCGCGGGCTCAGGCAATCCACTCACCTCAGCCTCCCAAAGGCGCGGGATTATAGGCTGAGCCACTGAGCCCGGCTACGAGCTGTTTATAAGAGGATAACATTTATAGCAAAAAACTGTAGTGTAGTGTTAGTTGGGAATAAATGGGTATGGATAAAGATTAAACTCTTAGAGAAAAAAAAACAGGGTGGGTAATGTCAATGTGATTTTAAAGCACAAACTATTGAGAGCCACCAAAAAGTCCATGGTATGCCTTATTTGCCCAATATCAGAACATTTGAATATATAAGACAAAACTAAGATCTACAAGGAGAAACAAGCAAACATAGAGTTGTTGTGGAAGAGTGCAATCTCTTTTTGAGCAGTTCTATGAAATATTGATTGTGTAAACTAAAAAGGCAGCAAAATGGATATAGGTCAAGCAGACAGGAATGAACCAAACTCCCTGGACAGCATCACATCGTTTTTTCAAGTGGGAACAGATGAGGATGATCTCATGCTTTCTCACTTAAAAGGGAGTTCAGTTGATTATTTATTTCATCACTGAGTGTTGATAAAATAGAAGGCACACTTACCATAAGCTCCTCCCCTCCACAGTCCTGTTGGGTTGTAATTTTGTGAAGCAAATTTATGGCCACGTTTGACTACCATGTTCAGTAACACTAGAAATTTATAATGTTGCATTTAAACCAGTATTTTACAACTATTCTAATCCATGCTGGTTTTTGTTGAACTCTTGTTCTTTCTACAGTTTGATTTTTTTTTTTTTTTTGAGTTGGAATCTTACTCTGTCGCCCAGACTGGAGTACAGTGGCCGCTCCTGGCCACCGCAGCCTCGACCTGCTGGGCTCCGGCGATCCTTCCGCCTCAGCCTTCCAAGTAGCTGGAACTACAGGCGCGCACTACCACATCCGGCTAATTTTTTGATTTATTGTAGAGATGAGGTCTCACTGCCCAGGCGGGTCTCAAACCCGTGGGCTCAGGCAGTCCACTCACCTCAGCCTCCCAAAGGCGTGGGATATAATTTGAATTTTTAAAAATTTTTATTTCTAAACATTTTTATTCCCAACATTGAACAAACTTGCTTAAACCATACATCTCTTTGCCTGCCTATCTGAAAATCACTGGTTTAGGCCCTCATGCTGCAAACCAAAGCAAAATAAAATATGAGTAGTGCTTCTTTAATTTAAGTAAATGTATTTTATTTCAGAGTATGTGGAAACACCTGTATTAATGGTGTTGTAGAATAATTGGAGCTGAGTAAGACAGAGCCCCTCCCAGAGTATAGTCCTGTGATAGAATTAGACAAATATATCAATAATTCTTACAGTAAGTAGACAGATAGATATTATTAGAAAAGCACAAACTTTAGAATAAAGATATTTTACTGTTTTATATTTCTAACACTCGCCTTGAGGAAATCAGTCATGTTTTTGCCTGTTAATAGTATTTCATTGTTTTGGACATTTGGCCAGGTGTTGACATTTATTAATATGAATAGCTTTTGTAGAAAATATTTCAATAGAACGTTTATCATAAAGATAGTAGTAATACTCAAGATTCACATTCATCATCATTGTTAGGTTGCAATCTTAGTGGGACTTTCCAAAAATGTTAGTTTAAAAATCCCAACAGAGCCTCCAAAACGTTAGGTCAGACTGGTGCGGGGGAAGGGGGGGTGCAGTGTGAGAATGTCTGCGATCCGGTGCTGCACAGAGATGCGAAGAATTGCTCAGAAGTAGATTGGAAAATATAGTTTATTTAAAAAGTAAATTAGAGGGAGAGAAAGCATTCACCTCCCAAGTTTAAGAAGGCAGTGACAAATGGCTGCTTGAAGTTGAATGCTTTTAAGCCATCCTTTTGATGGGGAAAGTCATCAAAGTGATTGAGTAGTGAGCGGTCTTTTCACATCATCATGAAGGGGACAGGTGAGCACAGATACTGACATCAGGTGATAGATGGCAGGCAGATGGGTGAGTCAGTCATACGACTGCTGTCATGTTGATGGGGTCTGTCACAAAGGTCATGAAGGACTGATTAGGTTAACTTGCTTACAAAGCAAGCTGGGGAGGGGATTTTAAAGCAATCTGAGAAATGGTTTCTGTCCTTGATTAGAGGGCAACCTAGGTAATGTTAAGAGAATATGACAGAACTAGGCAATGTCAAAATGGCTGCTCATTGGGTATATTGACTCTGTCTTACGTCCTTTCAATCATAAAATTGAAGGCATAATTTTTATTACCGCTTCTGCTTGGAATTCTCTTGTCAGAACTTAAGGACAGCTTGGAAAGAACTGGGCCCCATGTTTTTTCTACAGAAATATTTTTCGGAGACTACTTTCTAGGTTTTGTTATAAAACTACCCAAACATCTTGCTTCACTTTCTTGGGGGGAAAAGAGAAAAAGAAATAGTCATATCATTTTGCAAGTAAGAGAAACTGAGTTGATACAGTTAATCAAGGCATTGTCCTCTTCTGTCCCTTTTTGTTAGGGGTGAAGTTGTGGTTCATGGTTATTTGAATATTTCTGTTGAGTCAGAGGAATTAGATATAACAGTAGGAAGTTGTTTTGGAAACAGAAGTAATTACTCTCACCAGAATGCGGTTGCTGTTTAAGACAACGGGAAGATGATTTTGTGTGTTTGTGGCATAAACCCCTATTTCAGGATTTATGAAAATGGACATCCACACAGTTAACAGGGGTGGGCCCTCTGTTAAGTTTGAGAATCAGTATGTGCTCTCATGCTACATCCTCGCTAGCTTGAGGATTTTTTTTGGATAATATACATTCTATCTTCACAGTTATAAAACAACTATTTATACATACTATTAAAAATGTACAACTCATTTGCATTCTTTCTGCAAATATTCTGAGGCTTGTTTTTAATGCTCTCTCTCACTCTCTTTTTTTAAAGCTCTGCTTATGATAATATCAACAAAGTTCGAGTAGCTATCAAGAAAATCAGCCCTTTTGAGCACCAGACCTACTGCCAGAGAACCCTGAGGGAGATAAAAATCTTACTGCGCTTCAGACATGAGAACATCATTGGAATCAATGATATTATTCGAGCGCCAACCATCGAGCAAATGAAAGATGTGTATCCTTTTCGGGCAACTAATTCTACTGCTTGGTCACCTTGTTTAGTAAATATACTGAACTTACAGTAAAGGAAAAGTATATAAAGCAGGTTAAAGGGGAAGCTGACCTGCTTTCCATTTATGATGTAAGTATAGTTATGGAAAATCCTGGTTCCTGTCATTTCTGGTCATGTTTTTTCCACCCAAGGGATAGTTTGTTATGATGCTGAAAAGCAAAAAGAAAGAGCAGTAGACTCAGAAAGAGGGTACACTGGTGAAATTGGAACTATCCTGATCTTAGGTGATGTCATATCGCCTCTCTAGGTCTCAATTTCCTAATCTTTAAAAGGAAGGAAGTGGCCCTCATGATCTTTAAGGCAACCTAGCTCTGAGATTATGTGATTAACTGTGGCCAACATTTAGAAATCTGGACTTAGCAGGTCTAGAGAATGTTGCATGGATAAAGGCTACATTTGAAAGATAGAGGGATTGAGTATACTGAATAGGACCTGCCGGTTTGCTCTATGTGCATTCCACCCCTCTGGCAGCTCACTGTCTCTAGGCAACTCTTTCCATTTTTTTTTTTTTTTGAGTTGGAGTCTCACTCTGTCGCCCAGACTGGAGTGCAGTGGCCGGGAGCGGCCCAGCCTCGACCTGCTGGGCTCCGGCGATCCTGCCGCCTCAGCCTTCCAGGTAGCTGGAATTACAGGTACACGCTACCATGCCCGGCTGATTTTTTTATTTATTGTAGAGATGAGGTCTCGTCAAATTGCCCAGGCGAGTCTCGAACCCGCAGGCTCAGGCAATCCACTCACCTTAGCCTCCCAAAGCGCAGGATTACAGGCTGAGCCACCGAGCTCGACTCTCTTTCCATTTTTAAACAGCTCTGTTAATAAGTTGTAGTGATATTTGATGTGAAATGCCTCTTGCTACTACAACCCGTTGGTCCTGCTTTACTTTTTGCCATGAAAATAATTCTCTCTAGCCAGGCTCAGTGGCTCAAGCCTGTAATCCCAGCACTTTGAGAGGCAGAGGCAAAAGGATTGCCTGAGCCCGGGGATTCAAGAACAGCCTGGGCAACTTGGCGAGACCTCGTCTCTATAATAAATAAATAAATAAACTACATGGTGGCACGCACCTGTAGTTCCAGCTACTTGGAAGACTGAGGAGGAAGGATTGCCTGACCCCAGCAGGTCAAGACTGTAATGGCCATGAGTGTGCCCTGCACTACAGCCTGGGCGACAGAGTAAGATTCCAACTAAAAAAAGCCCAAAAACTAATAAAAGAAAAGCCAGCCGGTCTCGGTGGCTCAGCCTGTAATCCCAACACTTTGGGAGGCTGAGGCAAGTGGATTGCCTGAGCTCAGGGGTTCAAGACCAGCCCAGGCAACTTGATGAGACCTCATCTCTACAATAAATCAAAAAAATAGCCAGGCGTGGTATCACGCACCTGTTGTTCCAGCTACTTGGAAGGCTGAGGTGAAAAGATCACCAGAACCTAGCAGGTTGATGCTGGGGTGTCCATGAGCGTGCCACTGCACTCCAGCCTGGGCGACAGAGTGAGACTTCAACTCAAAAAAAAAAAAAAGAAAAGCCTATCTCAGATAACAGTTTTAAATCAAGTTCCTTTGAATCCCATGCTGCTTCTCATCTCTCATGAATCTGGAGACAGAGAATAGTATTTACATAGAAATGAATAAAAGAAGTGCAATAAATGCTAATGAAATAATATCATGGTGAAACTAAAATCTCTTATAATTTCTTTAAGAAAATAAGTAGTTGGCCATTGCCTTGCTAAGCTATACTGTAGCCATGTGCTCTTTGAGCTATGACCAGGCCATGTTTTCTTAAGCTTTGGCCCTCTCCCCTCCCTTGTGAAGGTGAATTCCTTCCCCTCCCCCACAATTTACTTTCTATATATTAAACTATGTTTTCTAACCTAACTTCTGTGCAATTCTTTACAACTTTCGTGTGGCATTGGATCACATACCAGACACCCACACCCCTGACCTAACATTTTGGAGGCCCTGCTGGGAGTGTGCCCGAACATTTTTGGAGGTTCCACTGAGATGTGACCCAACATTTTTGGAGGACCCACCAAGATCTGCTGCTCTCTCGCTCTCTCTCATTCTTCTTTCCTACCAAGATTTGCTGTTCTGTCTCTCACTCTTCTCTTTTCCAACCCTAGTCTCTCTGTGGAGAGAGATAAGGTACTTGGCTATCTTTTCTCTGCTACTCACTCTTAATCTTATCACCCACGATGAGCTACATCCAACAGACATTTCCCTGTGGCCTCATCCTTATCCGATATGAAACTATATCTTCACTGCCAAGACATTAGAAAAGCAACAGGGTGCCAACATGGAGGGCTGAAGAACCAGAGTGCCAAAGAGGCACCCCAATTGGCAGTAGTAATTTTACAACAAAACTCCAACTGCCCATCAAAGACCTGGCAGACCCCACCATCATGGCAGCAATCATGTGACTGACCCACCCTTATGCCTGCTGTCCATCACCTGATGTCAGTACCTGCACTTACCTGCCCCTCCGTGATGACATGGAGTACACCACCATCCAGTCACCTCAATGACCTTCTCCCATCAAAGGGAAGGGTTAAAAGCATTCAACCTTGAGCAGCCAGTCGTCATTGCTAGGCTATTGCCAGGCCATTGCCCTGCTGAGCTATGACCAGGCCATGTTTTCTTTAGCTTTGGCTCCCCTCCCCTACCTTGGGGAGGTGAATCTCTTCTTTTTTTCTCTCTCTAATTTACTTTCTAAATAGACTATATTTTCTAATCTAAAAAAAAAAAAAGTAAGTAAGTAGTTGAGGGAGGGGAACACATGACACAGTGGGAACCTGGTCCACTACCAGGGGGACTGAGGGCCAGCTACAACTCCAAACTTCACCTGCATGCAGCCTACTTATGTAGCAAATCCTCACTTGTACCCCACAACTCTAAAACAAGGAAGGAAGGAAGATAACCAAAGCCAGAGTTTTAGATGATGAGATACATGGCCAGACAAGAAAGCAAGAGAGGCAAAACTAGCACAGACTCCTCGTTAGCATGAGTTCCCCAGAGTCTTATTTATTTAGGATCTTATCATTAATTAAAACATCAAGAAAATAGAGCTAGGGTTGAATTTAGCAATAGCAGTTTGTTTGTTTGTTTGTTTGTTTTTGAGTTGGAGTCTCACTCTGTCGCCCAGACTGGAGTGCAGTGGCCGCTCCCGGCCACCGCAGCCTCGCCTGCTGGGCTCTGGTGATCCTTCCGCCTCAGCCTTCCATAGCTGGAACTACAGGCGCGCGCTACCATGCCCAGCTAATTTTTTGATTTATTGTAGAGATGAGGTCTCGCCTGCCCAGGCGGGTCTCGAACCCGCGGGATCAGGCAACCCGCTCACCTCAGCCTCCCAAAGGCGCGGAATTACAGGCTGAGCCACCAAGCCCGGCTTAGCAATGTTTTTTAGAACTGTATTTCCAGATGTTTTATGGTTGGTTTTTGAGAAGAGGAGGGAGTAGCAACAAGGAAAAATAATAGTGACATTTCAAATTGTTGCTGGGCCGAAGAGAGGAGAGATGTGATACTTGCTGGCCCTCCCCATTTTCCAACAAGACTTGGAGGGGGTTTGTTGATGGTGGACAACTTAAAGAATAACGAGGTTGGAACTTCATGAATGGCCAGTATTTCCATAACGGTCTATTTTGGGTCTCAGTCTAGGCCCATAACAAGCCAAGCTAGGCAGCTATAATATCTACTGTCTCAACCTAAAAGAAGTTAACTACTTCATATTTCTTCCATAAAGGTATGCAACATCAGTGTCTCCTTTCCTTTAAGGGCCTCATGATGTAATAATGGACTGTTTGGGAAGAGGATCAAGAGAGGGTGCTTTTTATTTTTAGTGCTTTGCTAAGTGTGACCAGCTAATAGTATTTTACCTTAACCTATCCAAACAGATATATAGTACAGGACCTCATGGAAACAGATCTTTACAAGCTCTTGAAGACGCAACACCTCAGCAATGACCATATCTGCTATTTTCTTTACCAGATCCTCAGAGGTTTAAAATATATTCATTCAGCTAATGTTCTGCACCGTGACCTCAAGCCTTCCAACCTGCTGCTCAATACAACCTGTGATCTCAAGGTCAGCCAGATTATTTACTCTTAAGAGTGATATATATTGAAAAAAAACTTTTACTGAGGCTTCATTATATTTATTATTCATATTTAAAATTATACCAGAAATACACAAAAATATCTTTATGGCAAAAATGTTAGTAAAGAGTGCTGGTTCTATTCTTCCTCGTCCCAGAGAAAATTAACTATTATAACAAATTGATGTATTTTCTCCAGAGTTTTTTTTTATGCTCTTACATACATGTGGACTTTTATACGTTATATAGGTAAATAGAATTACATACATTATGTGTAAGTTTTAAAATCATCTGTCTCATTGGTGACCTTTTTTCATCAGTAAATTGTATATAAGAGACACTTAGAAATCAGCAGAAGGCTGGGCTCAGTGATTCAAGCCTGTAATCCCAGCACTTCGGGAGACCAAGGCGAGAGGATTGCCTGAGCCCACAGGTTCGAGACCAGCCTGGGCAGCATGGTGAGACCTTGTCTCTAAAATAAATCAAAAAATTAGCTAGGCATGGTAGTGTGTGCCCATAGTTCTGGCTACTTGGAAGGCTGAGACAGAAGGATCCCCAGATCCCAACAGATCAATGCTGGGGTGACTGAGCATGCCTCTGGGTGACGGAGTGAGACTCCAACTCAAAAAAAAAAATCATCAGAAAACTTAACCTCATTGACTTTAATACCTAACAAGGCATTCTAAATAAATAGGAAAGCCTAAGGTCTTTCTTTTGCAGGCTTCAGAGTTCTGAAGATGTACAGCATTTATATAGTTCTATTTTAATAGGTGGCAGGGCTAAATAAGAGGGACATCTCTGGTTGTCTTAGATGTGATGAAGGTAGCAGTTAGGTGGATTCAGTCTAACAAAAATGCACAAGAATTCCAGAATACCTAAATAAATGGAAAAACATTTCATGTTCATGGATTGTAAGCCTTAATATTAAGATGGCAGTATTCCCCAGATTGATCTACAAATTCAATACAACTCCTATCAAAGCCCCAGCCCTTTTTTTCCCCCAGAAATTGATAGACTGATCATGAAATTTATACAGAAATTCAAGAGACCCAGAATAGTCAAAACAGTCTTATGAAAAAACAAAGCTGGAAGGCGCACACTTCCTGATTTCAAAACAAAAAATTACAGTAATCAAGACAGTGTTCTACTGTCCTAAGGATAAACATATATGTCAGTGGAATAGAATTAAGAGTCAGTAAATAAACCAGTACATCTATGGTCAACTGATGTTGGTTTTTTTTGGCGGGGGTTTTTTTTTAGAGGCAAGGATGCCAAGACCATTCTCTTGGGGAAAGAATAATAGTCTTTTCAACAAATGATGCTGGGACAACTGAATGGCCACATGTAAAAGAATGAGAAAATTCACTCAAAATGAATCACAGAACTCAAGAACTAAATCTTTAATACTCTTAGGAAACATAGGAGTAAGTCTTTGATTTTTTTGTTAAGCAAAGCCTCTTAGACATGACACTAAAACGCTTGCACAAGCAACAAAAAAAAGTGGATTCTATGAAGATTAGAAACCACGCTACAAAGTAAACTGTCAAGAAGATAAAAAGGCATCCTACAGCATGAGAGCAAATATTTGTAAATCATACCTGATGAGGGACTTATTACTAGCATATATGAAGAACTTTTATAGCTCAAAAGTGAAAAGATAAATAGCCCAATTTAAAAATGAGCAAAGGAGCTGAGAAGATATATAAATGGTCAATAAACACTCAATATGCTTGATGTCATTAGTCAGGAAAATGCAAGTCAACATCACAGTGAGATACCACTTCACACCCACTAGGATGACTAAAATCAAAAAGCATATAAGAGTCACTAAGGATTTCACTCCTAGGTATATATACCTAAGTGAAATGAAAACATGCATCTACGCAAAAACTTATATATGAATGTTTATAGCAATTTATTATATCCAAAAAGTAGAAACAATCCAAACATCCAGCTGATAGATAATTAAAATGTGGTAGATCCACACAGCAGAATAGAAAAGAGTACTGATAGTGGTACAATGTGAATGAATATTGCAAACATGTAGATGAAAGAAACCAGTCACAAAAGACCACATATTGCATGATTCCATTTATATTAAGTGTCCAGAATAGGCAAATCCATAGAGATAGAAAGTAGATGAGTGGTTGTCCAGAGCTGGTAGGGTTGGGGGAGGATTGAGGAAGGAGTGCTAAGTCAGTCTGGAGTTACTTTTTGAGGTCATACAAATAATCTCAAATTGTATGGTGGTAATGGTTGTATAATCCTGTGATTGTAATACTAAAAACCATTGAACTATATGCTTTAAATTAGTGAACTGTATGGTATGTGAATTATATCTCAATAAAGCCATTTAACAAGTACATTTATTGATTTTAGTTCAACTGCTATTCCTGTGAGAAGCCTTATAAAGTATACCAGACAAAGGAGTGTCTGCCCCTGAAATCTGAAAATTGATAGTCAGAAATCTGGTAAACAGGAAGATGATTGTGATGGTATGTGCTATAACTGAGATAGTGGAAAGAGTGGTGTACAAGTGAGGAGAGAGGTAGGCTAGTTCTGACTGGGGTTGTACTAGAGAGAAGGGGCAGGAAGAAGGTAATATCTCTGCTTGCCCTCTGAGGAGGGGCTTTTTTGGAGAAGGCAAGCAGCTGTATCGGGCATCAGGTATCAGGCAGAGGGAACAACAGAAATAAAAGAAGTAAGGACTACTATACAGAACCTTGAGTTCCTCTCTGTGTCTGCAGCATTGGGTAAGTAATAGGAAGTCATTGACACTAAGCTGGAGAGGTTGCTTAGAAATGTTCAGTAAAGGGCAATGGGTTTTGTCTTGAGGTGGTCAGTTTATGCATGGTCACTGAATGTTTGAAACCGGTGGCCAACATCCATTGAGATGTAGTGGAGGACAGCTTCCTCTAGCAGATATGTGTGGATTGGACTCTGTCACCTCTTAGAATCCTTCTGGTATTCACATACTTTCCACTTTGAGTGGAATAAGCTCCTTTCCCCTGATCTGTGCAATTGAAAACCAAGTAGGCACAAAAGGAATGAAGTGACCTTTAAGTATGTCCACATTACTTATTTGACTTTTAGTGATTTTCTTGAAAAATTACAGTGAATATTTTTATGTGTACTCATGCTTTTTTTTTTTCATTTGGTTTTCATCAAATGCTGTTGTGGCAAATTGCTTATGTTTGGTTTTGGAGAGATACTCCCAGTATTTTAAGTATAGAATATTTTGGGGAAGAGTTAGCTTATATTTGCTTGAAAGTATTCATCCTTAAGAATAAAACAAACAGAACCAGACTACTCTCTCTGCTATCTCTTCTCTGTTTATGGACTTATCTTTACCTAGGGCCATTTTATTCGCCCACTCATCAAAATTCACACAATACACTGGTATATATCAGTTGTTGGCCCTGACATAATCCAGGCATTGTTTTCAAAACCCAAGTTAACATACAGAATCAGAAACACAGCAGGGTATTTTAGATAGAGGAGAACAATTCACTCACGTTTTTAAAATGTACAACACCTGAGTGACAGAGCAAGTCCCTGTCTCAAAAAAATGAAATGTACAACAATATGCATCATTCACATGAGTATAAATGTGAAAGGAGAGAATCTCATTTCAAAGCTGAGTGTGGTGTGTCAGCGAAGTCACTGATTTGTCAGGAAGAGCATGTCTGAGCAGGGCAGGAGACAGTTATATTTCAGTGTGTATATATAGGGTGGTTGAGAGAGTACCACATGAGGAGAAGTGTCATATTCACTGGAGCTCTGGGATCTTACTACACACCCATGTCATCCTCAGCACCTTGTAGTGACTCTGATGCCCATTACCTCCTTTGCCAAGGAGGCTTGAAACCTGTGGTCTTACTGACCTCATGTTATTTAGGTCCTTTTGAATTTTCAAGCAGGCAAATTTTTCATTTCTTCCTTTTTCTGTTTTCTTCTACGTTACAAAGTGGTTCTTACTCTTGAGCCCTCATGACATTGACTGTTCTCAGTGTCTTGGACCTTTAGCTTTTGGCCCTGGCACCAGTCAAGGCCAACAGAAATAAGATTGCTTTTTAGTTCTCATACACATGTTTTGTATTTATTATCTGAAGCCTTAAAATGCAGTAGACATTGACCTCTCAGGACCCTTCTGGGACCCTCTCTTTAGATTTTCTCTTTATTTCTCAGGAACACAGTAACATACAAGGACTACTGACCTATTTGGAGGTTCTGCTAGTATATATTTAGTTGAACTGCTAGGGGGATGTGGTCTATACCAATCTGTTCCATTGTTGTTTACTAGACTGACCTCACAGAAATTCCAATAGGATCACAGCGTGTGATAGTTCTGACTATGCCTGTGAAGGAAGACTCTGGAAGATACCAGATGAAACGTGTCCTTGGGGCTTGCTTTCTTTTTTTAAATTTGAATTTACGTAGCTCAAAAGGTAGTCACGTAGGGGTGCTAAAGTTTGTAGGTCATGTTATAATTTCATGTACCATATCCTAGTTATCTATCTTCTTTTTGATGGCACTGTACTGGGTACTACTGCTTTTTTATTTTGTAGCCAGTGTATTGGTTAATACCATGTAAATTTGGTTAATCTTCGGTATTATAGTGTTACGAACTTAAAGAAATCATAGAGCTTTTCATTGATGACCAATGAATAGAGTTATAGAATCTTTAAAAAATCTAAACCCCATATTCCCCTCTTTATTTTTTAAATTGTAACCAATAATTTCTGAGAATCTATTAATTCTATGCCTTGTACTAGATGGGAGGGATACAAATGATAAAACACAGTCCCTGTTATACCAACTCATTATGAAAATTGGCAACTAAAAGGAAAGGATTAAACATTTTTCCTGTCTTTTCAGTAGGAAATCCACTAGGATCTATGCATCAGGGTAAAACAAATAGTCCCAATTGATGAACTACAGCCCTTCTTTAAAAAGGATGCCAGTGGCCAGATGTGGTGCTCACGCCTGT